TCGTTTTTCCAAAAATGATTCAGCGTCTTCCGCTTCCAGAAGATCGTTAAGTATCGGATCTTCTTTTATTTTCATACGTGTCCCGAATAAGAGTCGGAAAGGTGATACCTTGGTGCTTCGTGAGGGTATGTTATTTAGATATTGTTGAGCTCGGGCGACATATTTATGCCACTGAGCCGGATTCGGCGCTGACAATTTTGTCAGTACTGGGATTAGGATACGGTTGACCCGTTCTACTTGCCCGGTTCCTCGTGGGATCCCTGTCGCAATGGTTGAGTGTTCGATGTGTTCTTCTGCACAATATGCTTGGAAGTCGTGTGAGGTAAACGCCGTCCCTTGATCCGAAATTATCCTCCTTGGATTCCCAAAAACAGCGCTCTGTTGCATCAATTTATGTAGTACTTCCACGGTGCCGGTCGACTTCGTCGGGTACAGCCACACAAATTTTGTGAAGGCATCGACGACCAGGAACACATGTCGGTAATTCTTCTTAGTAGAAGGCAGAGGACCTAGGTGGTCTATGTGGTAGGTGTCCAATGGACTCTCTCCCTTGGGGATCGGATGCAACCATCCTTCCTTCTTCCCAGACTTCTTCTCGGCTAGGACACAGTTGATGCAATTTTGTATGACGCACAGTTGATGCAATTTTGTATCCTCGATCTTCTTGCGCATTCCTTTGAACCAGTAATTCATTCTTATCAACTTGTCGGTTTTGTCTGCTCCAAAGTGGCCTTGCTCGTGTGCTTGTCGGATAATGCTGTTTTGCATCAATCTCGGGACAACTATCAACATATCTCCATTTAGTTTCTTGCATACAAGTCCATTTTCGACGATGTATTCTTCACCTCGACCCTTTGTTATTTGTTCGCGAATATTCGATATCTCTACGTCGTTTTCCTGGTTCCTGCGCAGTTTACTCAGTATGCTATCCTCGCATTCCGTTACTAGCATGGCCGTCGGTAGTGCGTTTCGACTGAGAGCGTCGACATGTCGCATACTTTTCCCTGGACGATGCTCGACTGTATACTGGAAGTCTTGTAGAAAGAGGGCCCATCTGGCAATTCGTGTACAGACGTCGGTCTTCTTCATGGTTTGAATAAAAGCTTGGCAATCTGTAACGATTTTAAACGATATTCCAATTAAATAGACTCGGAATTTTCGTAGCGCCTTGATGATCGCTAGAACCTCCAACTCGTAGCTGTGGAACTTTGCTTCGCTCTCTGTGGTCTTTCCGCTTGCGTAGTACACGGGATGAAAAAGACGATCCTCGCTATCCCGCTGCAATAGTATCGCTCCATAACCTCGAGAGGATGCATCCGTATGCAGCTCGGTCTCGGCGCTTGGACAGTAGACTCGCAAAATAGGTTGTTGACTAAGAGCCTCCTTTAGTCGTTCGAACGCGCGCTTTTCGTCGTCACCGAAACGGAATACAACTTTATCTTTCAATAAATTCGTCAACGGATATGCTATATTGGCGTATTTAGGAACGAATTTCCTAAAATATCCAGTGAGTCCTAAGAAACTCTGTACCGTTCTCTTATCGGTCGGCGTAGGGAAATTTCTCACTGCATTAGTCTTTTCGTCGGAGGGAGTAACTAGCCCATTTTCTATAATAAATCCTAAATAATTAACCCGCGTCTTTAAAAACTGACACTTTCTCCAATTGATTTCTAGACCGCGCTTACTTGCAGTTCGCAATACTTCTTCTAAATACTGAAGCCCCTCCTGGACATTGCTGGACGGTATAATTAAGTCGTCCATGTACAACGATACTCTATTCTTTGTGACTAATTCGGCAAAAACAGCATTAACATACCTTTGGAAGTATGCTGGCGACGTACTAAGCTCAAAAGGCATTCGTAGGAACTCGTAGTGTCCGTTAGGAACTATAAATGCCGTATACTTACAGCTATCTTTCGCAACTGAGACATAGAAGAAACCGTTCTTAAGATCTATAGTACTAAATACTTTTGCTCCGCGCAATCGATCGATTTGATTTTCTATATTAGGTAACGGGTATCTCGTCTTAACTATTTTCTCGTTCAGCTTTCTGTAATCTACGCATAGTACCACTCTCGTAGTACCGTCTCTTTTTTTTACTAATACGACTGGACTAGCGTATTCTGAGATTGACTGTCGAATAATACCCTCGCTTAACCATTCACGAATCTGTTCGTCAAGTATTTTTTGTTCCACGTCAGCTAACCTACGAGCACGTCTGTATACTGGTGTTTCGTCTTTCAAAACAATGTTTAGCTCGATCCCTACATCTTGAATTTTCTCAGGCTTATAATCCGG